CAACAGGATCTAGAACTCTTGCTTGTGAGCAATAACTTTGACCTAGTGGGTCTAACTGAAACTTGGTGGGACTCTACTCATGACTGGGTGGTAGGAACAGAGGGCTATAGGTTGTACAGGAGAGATAGAGAAGGGAAAAAAGGAGGGGGTGTTGCTCTTTATGTCAAGGAACAGTACACATCTTCCCTAATCAAATTGGGATCAGAGGATGGACAAGAAGAGACTCTGTGGTCAGGATTCAAGGGGGTTGGGGGAAAGGGACCTGGTGGTGGGGGTCTACTAGAGACCTCTGCACCAGGAGGACGAAGTAGATGGGGAATTTTCCAGGCAGCTCTCAGAGGCTGTGCAGTCTAGAGACATGGTAGTCATGGGGGACCTTAACTACCCAGACATATGCTGGGAGGAACAGTCAGCTAGATCTAACCGCTCACGCAGGTTCTTACCCTATATTCAGGACCTCCACCTAACACAGGAGGTAAGAAGTCCCACCAGGGGTAACGCCTTGCTTGACTTGGTGTTGGCCACAGGGGTACCTGGTGGGGGACTAGCAGATTCAAGGCAACTTAGGGGATCACTAAATGATAAAATTCACTATCCAGAGAAGCGCAGGTACCATACCTAGCAGAACACAGGTGCTAAACTTTAAAAAGGCTGACTTTAATAGGCTCAGGGAATTGGTTAGCAGGGTACTAGGATCCAAGAGCCTTGATGCTTTGGGGATCCAGGGGGGGTGGTCATTCCTCTGCCAAGGCAGCTCTACAACTCAGGCTAGTGGCATGGATTAAGGACAACAAAAAGTCCTTCTTTAGGTATGTTGGGAGCAAAAAGAGGGTGCAGGGTAGCATAGGGCCCCTACAGGACAGGCAGGGGGCTTAGTGATGGATAGCAGGGACAAGGCAGAGCTCTTCAATTAGTTCTTTGCCTCTGTCTTCTTAAGTAGGAATCTAGACGAACCCTCAATATGCATCACGGACACCAACAAGGGGAATATCAGCTGACCAACGGTCAGTGACAAAATGGTAAAAGGACACCTGGAGGGACTGGACGTGTTCAAATCACTGGGACCAGAGGGACTCCATGCATGGGTAATGAAGGAATTAGCGAGTGTCATAGCTGAACCCCTAGCAAGGATATATGAGCGCTCATGGTGCTCGGGTCAGGTCCCGGAGGATTGGAAGAGGGCCAATGTTGTTCCAATCTTTAAGAAGGGGAGGAAGGAGGATCCAGGGAACTATAGACTGGTCAGCCTTACCTCTATCCCAGGGAAAATCCTTGAAAAAATTGTCAAGGAACACATCTGTGGGAGCCCGCTGGCTAATGTGATGTGGAGGAGTAACCAACATGGGTTTATAGCAGGCATATAAACTGCCTGACTAACCTACTTTCTTTTTATGACAAGGCCACCAAATGTTTAGATGAAGGAATTGAGGTGGATGTTACTGTTCTGGACATCAAGAAGGCCTTATTAATAAACTGAAGAGATTTGCCTTGGATGATTATGCAGTAAAATGGGTAGCAAAGTGGCTCAGGGGTCGCACTCAGAGGGTGGTGGTGGATGAATCAGTGTCAACCTGGAAAGAGATGTGCAGTGGAGTCCCTCAGGGCTCAGTTCTGGGGCCGGTGCTGTTCAACATCTTCATCAGTGATCTGGACAAGGGGGTGGGAAGCACCCTGTCCAAATTCGCAGATGACACAAAAATATGGGGTGAAGCTAACACCCTGGAGAGGAGGAACCAGATCCAGGCTGACCGACAGGTTGGGGAAGTGGGCAGAGAGCAACAGGATGCAATTCAATAAGGACAAGTGCAAGGTGCTGCATCTAGGGAGAAAAAAACTGCCATCATACCTATAGGTGGCGGGGGTGACCTTCTCAGCACCACTGAGGCAGAAAGAGATCTTGGAGTCACTGTTGACTCCAGGATGAACATGAATTGCCAATGTGATGAAGCAGTTGGCAGAGCCAATCGCACCTTGTCGTGTATCCGTAGGTGCTTCACAAACAGGTCCAGGGAGGTGATTCTCCCTCTCTACGCAGCACTCATCAGGCCACAGCTGGAGTACTTTGTCCAGTTCTGGACGCCACAGTTCAAGCGGGATGCGGACAACCTGGAGAGGGTCCAAAGAAGAGCCACTCGTCTGATTGGAGGCCTGCAGGGAAGGCCCTATGAGGAAAGGCTAAGGGACCTTAACCTCTTCAGCCACTCCAAGAGAAGGCTGAGAGAGGACCTTGTGGCAGCGTGCAAATTCATTAGAGGAGAGCAACACAAAGTAGGTGATGATCTCTTTACTAGGGCACCCCCTGGAACAACAAGTAACAATGGCCATAAGCTATTGCAGTGTGGGTTTAGACTGGACATTAGAAAAAAGTTTTTCACGGTGAGGGTTGCCAGGTTCTGGAATGGGCTTCCAAGGGAGGTGGTGCTCGCCTCATCCTTGGGGGTCTTCAAGAAGAGACTGGACAGGCACCTGCCTGGGATCACATGATCCCAGGTTTGGTGACCTTTTCCTGCCTGCCAGGGGCAGGGGGTCGGACTAGAAGGCCCACTGAAGTCCCTTCTGACCCTAGAATCTATGAATCAATTTAATCATTGCAGGTTAGACTAAGCTGTGCAGATCGAACTGATAAACAAGTGAACAGACATTCACTTTTGATTCTGGAAATGCAGCCACATGCCTGCAGTGGCCCAGGACTGAAGCTGGGGGTGGGGAGGGAAGGGAAGGAGGGGGAGTAGGGAACGGGAAATTTTAAAACACGCTTTCCTGCTCACCTGAACCAGACATCTTGGGCCAAGGCTAGCCTGCCCATCCCATGAGGGAAGGTTTGTGGGAGAGGTGCAAAGCATCCTGGGATGATGGGGGACTGTGAGTTAACTTGCATCTGGAGGAGGGGATCTGGGACAGAAGTTCAATAAACCAATTTAACGTAAATCAGTTAAGTCTGATACCACATCCATCCAGGTTCATCTTAAACTGGTTTTGGCCATTTTGAAAGTGGTTTATGTACACTAAACTTGTGTTGTGTTATGGATTTGAACTAGTTTCCAATCACTTATACTTACACATTGTGTAATTTCTGTCCCTAGCCTTAGGCTATAAACAGATGTCACCAAATTAAGTAGATCAGCTGTGCTGGGATGTGTTGCAGCAGAGCTCATCCTCATCACTGGATAAAACAGACATCACCTGTTGTGCTACTTGGTTGGGCCTCTGCCCTGATGCTGAAGGGGCACATCTCTGCAAATGGGGAAACCCTGGGATTTTCCCATTTGCAGTCATATCCCAAGTTGGAATCACTGGGCGGTCCTATGCAAGCAGGAAAACCCAGGGTTTCCTGACATGCAGAAACATGTTCCCTAGTCAGATTCACTGGGTGTCTCTCTGCAAGTCAGAAAACGTGGGAAGACACTTAATTAATTAATTGCCATCTAATTAATCTGTTTCAATTCCATATCTCTAAGTTATCTGCAATTTATTATTTAAATATAATGAATATTTCTTTGGAACTTATTTGGAGTTATTTGGAACTCTGGTTTGCATCTACCGATGCATCTTGAACAAGACCCAGGATGTCATCCTTCCACTGTACTCAGCCTTGGTGAGGCCGCAGTTGGAGAACTACATCCGATTTTGGGCTCCACAGTTTAGGAAGGACGTGGAGAAGCTTGAGAGAGTCCAGAGGAGAGCCATGTGCATGATCAGAAGACATAAGAATAAGCCTTATGAAGACAGGCTGTGAGCTGTGGGACTCTTCAGCCTAGAGAAGCGCAGGTTCAGGGATGACTTGGTGGCAGCCTATAAGTACATTAGGGGTGTCCCTGAGGATGTGGGGGAATCCCTGTTCACCAGAGCAGCCCAGGGGATGACAAGGTCTAATGGTCACAAACTCCTGCAAAACCATTTTCGGCTAGACATAAAGACAAATTTCTTTACTGTCGGAGCCTCCAAGGCCTGGAACAAACTCCTCCCAGAGGTGGTGCAAGCACCTACTCTGGACACCTTCAAGAAACATTTGGACGTTTATCTTGCTGGGATCCTTTGACTCTAGCTGACTTCCTACCCTGGGGGCAGGGGGCTGGACTCGATGATCTTACAATGTCCCTTCCAGCCCTAATGTCTATGAAATCTATTAAATCAGCGTAGGTGGCAGGTCTGTGCCCCTCTGAAGATACTAATCCAGTACAAGTGAAATTTGGACCAGCTGTAATAATTTTCTTGTGGAAACTCCAGACAGAAGAAATTACTAATCAATTCATATGTTTGCAGACTGTTACAGACATCATTAGTTTATAAAAACTATAAGACAGCAACTGTCTTAGCAATACATTATTATTCTCAAAAGACAAATGGTATGTCAAGTTGTTGCCTGAGATTTGACTCAAAGTATGCGGTATATGCTGTTACTAACAATATAAATGGGAAGAAATGTGGCAGATTTTAATATAATTTCTCTGAGAAATTCATACACCTGATGGTATCAAAAAGCCTTCTATTTTAAAGCCTTCTATTCTAAACATTTAAAATATTTATCTAACACTTAAAATCTATTCTACACTGAAACACAATATAAATAGCTCTAGAAGTATATCCTTACTAATCATCTAAGGTAGTTCATCTACAATACTATTCCTTGGTGAACTGTTTAAAAAAATTGCAACACCATCTTTAGAATTTTTTACAAAATGGGTGATATGTCGTTTGGTGAGGCAGAATTCATATTATTAAAAGCCACGAGACAGAAATTACCTGCTCAGGAAGACAGAAAAGAGGTTTTCTTAGCAGTAAATAATTTTCTTTGTTTGCAAATTAGAATCCTGATTCCATCATTTTTTCTCCTACTTAGTAGAACCCAAGTCCATAAGTAATTCCATTAATTCCATCGCCATGAGGTCAGTGTACACTATTAGTAGCAGGATTGGACCCTTAGTGATAGCTACATTTCAAAGTTTCAAAGGTTGCCACACTAATCTTTGTCTCTACTGAAGAGGAAATAACTCAGGTACCTTGCCTTTTCAGTGACTCCCATTTGTTGATGAACATCAATAAAGTCCATGAGCTGCTTCTGTAACATGTTCTCCTTGCCCTCAATTTGCTTAATGAAATCATGTTGCAGAAGATCCGATACTGTTGGGCGCTTCTCATAATCTTTAGTCAAGCACCTGCACTGACAGAGAAGGCAAGCGATTGTTCAGAGAGCCTTACACTGTTAAGCACTAATGTTGAGCTTATTCATGTCTAAGCTCTGTAGCCACAATGCAATAAATTACATACCTCTTAATTACAATTGGTATTAATTAAAATACAGACATTTGGGGAGAATTTGAAGATGAAAGAAAGATTAAAGAACATCTGGAAGAAGCAGCTGAAATGCTGTTGGTCTGAAATTTTAGATATGGTATCTCAGCGCTTCCTCATATTTTATACAATACCTTTAAATAACAGACTTTAAAGGGAAAGGATATACTTAGGGATCTACTTAAAGTGTGCCAAGGGAAAATAAAAATTGCAGATCACTCACAATACCCAGTGCCATTCTGCAGTCTTTACACAGAAAGCCCTGCCTCCCTGCTCCCTGCCGCTGATTGGCCAAGGGGCCCCAGCGGCCCTGCTCCTCCACCAGTGGCCCAGCTCCTCACCACTGATTGGCCAAGAGATCTGCTTTTTGTACAGCCCTGCCCCTTGCTGTGGACTGGTGGAGAGACAAAAGGCAGCCCTCCTGGCCAATCAGTGGCAGAGGAAGGAAGGGGTGGCTGCCATCTTCAGTGCTCCCCTTCATGTTGGTGGCCCCCTGCCTTCCCCCACTCCTCAGCAAGCATTTTATTTTTCGGTTTTTTTCATGGTGATTCTGAAAAAAAATCACGGAGAACGGCAGTTTTTGCAATGATTGTGGAAACTGCTTTTTGTGGTTTCCACAAAAATCACAAACTAGCAAATTGTGTAGATCCCTAGATATAACACACTATCCATCTCCTTTACAAAGCTCTCACTAGTCACTTCAGACACAGCAGAACCAGTGTGGTTCCACTGTAGACTGCTGGGAAGTCTTTAGTAAGTCTTCCCAGGAGTCCATGTTCCTTTTGGATGACTGACTGCTTCTGGGTGTGCTGCCTGCACATCCTGACATAGCAGGGCTTGGAGGCTGGGACAGCTAAAGGAAAAATGGGAACAGGATCAGTTGTTCTTCTGCTGGA